TTCTGATAAATAATATCACAAAGAGAAAAAGTAAGTTTTGTAATACTTTTCCTGCAACCAGCACCATACTATACAGATTGAAAAACCAAATTCTGATTGATACTTGCAATAATAAATGTGTATTAAAATTGTCTGAGGTGTTTTTTGCACAAAAAATAAATTTATCATTTAAACTGAATGACAGATTATGTCCAGTTTTGCCTTTTTTTTTGTTAACTTTTCCTCTCAAAGAAAAAGAAAATGCACAATTTGTGCTAACAGATAATCTGATCAGTCATCTAAGTGAATACTGAAGTTCAAACAGGTTTAAGAACATTAAAATAACATGGAAAAACAATTTTGGTTTGGTCTCTCTGAGGTGATAGCTGGTTATAATAGATAAAAGCATTTAACTGTTATTCAAAAATGAATAAGTCTCTCTGGTTTGATTTCCCAGACAGTGAAGCATTAAAGATTAAATTGTTAAAAAAACAAAATGATGAAAAACAAGTCCCATAACATGAATTTGGGATAACAGTAATACATGAACATATATTCTTAGTTGGAGGTTAAATCTGTTTTGTGAAGTGTAATGAGAAAAATTTATAACTCTACAAAATTACAATGAGGAAAATGTGTTCTTTCAAATGCACACTTGATGCTGAAGTTAAATGTTTCAATATTTTTTTTAAACTGATAGTTACTGACTAGTTATTTTTTTTAATAAAATATAGGATATTGACTAGACATGCAGACTCATGTTAGTATATCTTAAATCGTTTGTTAACTGAAATCTTGTAAATTTCTAAGAGCATACAAGCTAATATTTTTTTCATTTTGAAGAAACTTGAGGGAATTTTGAGAAACAAACACAAAACAAAAATATATTCTGCAACTGCTTTATGGTACACTGACAGTATTTGGTTAATATCTTATTTAAGCAAACAAAACATTTTATTGGTAAAGAATTCATTTGTTTATTTTGGGGGCTTAGGGTTTTGTTTTAGTTATTTCTTCAATCAGATAAGATTTTAAATTATACATTCTACTCTATATATATTTGTCTTGCCTATAGGAATAGCCTTATTGCATTTTTTTTCTCTATAGGAATATCCTTATTGTATTTGTCTTGCTTATAGAAGCATCCTTATAGTATAACTTCTATACAGATTTCATTGTTCTGTCTTTAGGTATTATGAACTTGCAAGGTTTTAACTGCCATAATTTCTTTCAAAAGAAGTTGATTATTTTTCAGTATTGTATAGTAATAACCAGTTTTCCATTTCTACTCAGTAATTTATACAACACTAATTTACAGCTACAAATAATTGTATTAAATCAAAAATCTATTTGTTTTTATTCAAGATAAACTGTCCTATGTAAAATTTAAAGTTTGCTATTGTCAGTGAAAGCAATGTTTTAATAAAATTTTCTTTAATTCTATGTGAGATAAGAATGTGATATATCCATAAATATCTCATCTTTGTTATAAACAAATACATTTACTTACAGGCATTGAACAGATATAAACACATTTTCCTTTGTTTCTTCACAGTAGCAGATTTATTTTTTTCCATTTAAGAAGTATTCCATCCAAAGAACAGTCACTGTGTAATGTTACTCTAACAGAATTATAATTTCTTTTATACTTGATTTTCATAACAAACATGATGAAAGAAAAGAAAAATAAGAGCCTGGAACAACAGAGCAAGACAGACTTCAATGTTTTTCTCATTCAATAAGAAAATATTCCTTCTTTTTCATACTTTCATTTTCTTTATCAATTGTTTTTCAGCAGTAATGATAACGATCTTGTTTGGAGTATTTGTGTTCTATCATTATTATAGTTTATTATTAAAATAATGTGCGTTTACCATCTTTTTGCAGGAACTGGCCAGGCAATCTGACAGCTCCTAAATAGTGTTTTTTTCTTTGTGTAAATGGGTGAGAGATAATTCAGAAAAATAATCAATTATTCCTTACATGAGCATGCACAATCTATTTCGATACAATTCCTACAAAGTGTAGCCCAGTTAGTAAATAAAAAGGAAATACTTAAATGTTTTAAGTGTGTGTCTGTGTGTGTGTGTGAGAGAGAGAGATATGAATGATTGATTTTGAACTAAAGTGCAAAACTACCAACACAAATCTATCCTGAAAACAACAGCCAGATGACAAAGTAAAGAAATCTTTTTTTTAACATTTTCCACATCACATTACCTCATCAGCTACAATACATCACAGCAATATTTTACAATCACAAGTTTAGAAAACTTATTAGAAAGAAATTTCTAGCATGTATTTTTAAAATAATTGGTTGTGATTTTTAAAAGAATGTTCCAATATCAAAACAGAAAGATTATTAGTTATTTTTTAATCAATGTCTTCAGTAATTCCTGTTTTATATTTCAGTTTTTAATATTTTAATAAACAACTTGTGTGTTTACTTACAATATACTCAAATACTAAGTTTTGCAACAAAAATGTTTATGAAAGTTACCATGTAAGCAAAGTGAATTATTATCCATTTTTATAATTTTAATCAACTTAGTGATTTTCATTCAAATTTTGTTTCTTTATTTTTTAAGTTTTTCATTTTTAAGTTCTGATCAATAATCAGTTTATATATATAAAAAAAAATTAATTTTACCTGAAAGAAAAAGTAGAAAAGTAATTACCTTGATGCTTCATTTGTTTTTACTTTTGGCAAAAAATAAACCCAGAGATTCTCAGAACATGGAAGATAAATAATATAATTTTTATGTTTAATAAATGCAAGATATGGAATATATTTTACTCAAGTGTCAGCCTAACAACTGTTTAACTGGAACATATTGTTGTATCTTAAATTTTACATTTTAATAATAAATATTTGATAATGTACAAATATAAGATAATTTTAAGGTTATATGAGGAAAGTTTATTGAATTCTGATGCTATTTTAAATATATATTATAAACTTAGTCATTTGAAATATGTTCAAAATGGTAATTAAATTTTATTGAAAATTTAATAGAAACTTTTTGGATGGAAGCAGGAAATCATATAGTAAACACTATACCGTGATACTACTTTGTTAGAATTTACAAAACAAAAATGATCTAATATTCTAAATTAGAATTAAATATTTCTTGTTCTATAATATAGATGGCTAATTCCAAGTCAGACATACTATGACAGTTAAAACACTGTTAAAATGTTGGCCAGTAACGGCAGAAACAAAGACTGTACAAACATTAAAAAATCCTTTTTTACTTTGTTTCCTACTGACAAATGCAAAGATAGTAAGTAAAAGACATCTTGAATCAATGAAATTAAATCAGACTGTAATCAGATCAGCTTTATTTATTAGCAACTCGAAATTATCTCCCTTATCCCAATTTTGACAAGCTATAAATTTATTTTATTTGCCTTTTAGTAAATAGACTACAAATAAATTTTAAAGTGAACCAGCCACTTTTGCAGTTATTTAAATATGTAAATGGTATTAAAAAAACAATAATTAGTCTTTGCTGTTTCATATAGCTTACAAGCTGGTTTGCTCTGAGAAATATATTGACAGTATTTATAGAGACAGTATTTTATAGAGTAGCAAAAACTGTAATTAATTTTTCTTGCTTGTGATGCTAACAGACACACATAGACAAGAAAAATAAACTTCCCCAAAAATGTAAATCAATTTTGCCAAAAACACTCATTAACAGTATATAAACTTTTCACATTTTTTAAATGTTTTTTCCTTTATTCTATGAGATATCATTTGTGGCGAGAGAAAAAGTACAAAATAGTCAAGTGAATTTGATTTACAAAGTGGTGACTTTTTGTATTCATATTTTTACTTAAATTAAGTAATCAATACTTAAAATGCTTGTATGATTTATGCCACTGATACAGAAATTTTTTATAAATCTAACTATTGAACATTTTTTATATTAACCAAGGTATACAAATCTGTTCTTGGCATTGATTGGTTAAGTTACTACCTGGACAGTGTCTGAATGACAGTGTATATACCTTATAAGGTATTGTAGCAGACAAAAAGGTGTGAAAGAGTTTATTAGAATATAGATACATCTGTTTTAAGGTGATACCAGATAAACACCACCTACAAGTGATAATATTTTTTGAACACTGTGTGGTAATAGTAAAAATAATTTTATTTATTACTGTTATAAAGTTTATTTCTACTTGGTAATGAAATTAAACAATTTCAGTTTAAAATATTTTACCACATAGATTTCCAAAAATTAATAAAATTCTTGTCTGTTGTATTAAGATAGTGAAAGTTCATTATGATGCATATTAGCACAGACTTCCTTGACTGGTGAAAGAATGAATTTGTTTTGTGTTAAAAATGCTACATACTTTCCAACTTTCTTGAAATCCTAATTTGAATTTATAATAGTAAAATGAATGATCAAATATCTTGTAGTGGGAAAATAACTAACATTTTGTTCTGGTTCTTGTCTGCATTCTGAACACACTGCACTTGTACAAAGGGACAAGAAGAAGCAGTGATATCAATTGCAGCAGTTGTAGTGGCAGCAAGTGCAATATTACCTGACAAAAGTGGGCAACAGAATAACAAGTAGCAACAGAAGAGTCTTGATGTTTAATTGTTAGTCAGTATTCTCATATGTGAAACATGACACAAAATAGAGGTGGGCATGAGGGTCAGGGGTGGCAGCAAGTGAAACAAATCTGTCAAAATGTAACATCTGATTGGGTACAATATCAACAGTGTCTTTAGTAGGGGGTGTTTCAGGGAAGATTGGGAGGGGGTCAATATTTTATTTCTTAAATTCTTTACTTGAGATAATTATATTACTATCATCTCACATACATACAAACACACACACATACACACACTCATTTTACTTTGATATATTTTCTTTTTGTATTGACCTATTTTTTTTACAATGTGCTGCAAATGGTTTGTTAAAATGCAGCCATCTGCGAACAAATGCATTAGGAAATGTGCAGTGCATTGCAACAGTGAGACAAAGTTGTTTGTATCATATTTAGGATTCAAGGAGCACATGCCAACGCTGAACTTGTTCACCTTTGCTTTCTCTCATATCATTCCAATGACTTTGTTCTTCTTCTCCACTACTCTTCATTCCTGAAATACACAAACAAAAGCAGATTCAAAATAACATTTTAATTTATGCTGCAACATTATGAAGGTTAATTTGATTTGACTAATTAACAGAAAAAAAACATGGTTAAATGAAATGAAAAGGGAACTTAATGTGGCATTAAGACACCATTAGTTAATGATCATTTTCACCAGTGAATTTTAAATTTAAAATTCACAGGATTTTTCAAACTGTCAATGGTGGCAGATTACTGAAATAGAAATGGCTAGAAGGGGAAAGACAGAAAGAGAGGAAAAGAAAAGGAAAAAAACGTGGGGGGTAGAAAGGAGAGACTGGAAGTAGTGTTATATGAGAGATGGTCACCGGGGGGGGGGGAGAGGGGGGGTAGTAAGGGGACTCATGAGGTAATGTAAGACATAGTATTGTGGTGGTCAAAGGAGAAGTGAAAAGGAACAGGTTCAAATGAGGAGCTGACCTATTTAATAGTAGTAATCTGACTGAAGTTTGGTTCAACAGAAACCCACAGATATTAATGCAAAGAATCTAAATTATATAATTGTCTTTTACACAGCACATCCTACTCCTCCTCCTTTCATGTTATAATTTTACCAAATTTCCTATCTCTTCCCTTTATAAAAATACCCCTTCTCGATCACCAAGGTACTACTAACTCTTGGTGACTATCAATAATATCTCTATATTACCCTAAATTTTCCCTTTCTCTTTCCTCCTTTTGTCCTAAAATTTGTTCCAAAACTTTCCTATTTCTCACATTAAGGTTTCTTTATTGAATTATCCTTGAATATCCCTTACATATAGGCATTACATTTCCACAAGAATGGTATATAATAATAATAATAATGTACTGTTACATAAACCTTGGGCTAATTGATTATCATGTAATAATATTTAATTATGAAGCTGATGTAAGTAAATATATATACTATATCTCTCTTATGTAATTATTCTTAACCATTCAGTATATCCAATTTTAAATAAGTAGACCTTATTAATATTATGTTTTTTTTAATATTTAATATATGCTGTATATGCTAAAATATAGTATTGAAATATTGTACCGAGGGGTGATTTACTAATGCATATCATATTATGAGATTGAAGAAGTGACCTTTGAATATATATCTTAGTTAAATAATTAAAGTTGGTATAATTTTTGCTTAATAATTATTAATCTTACTGTTATTTTTATTTTTTTTCATTTTTCTTTGTTATTTTACTTATTATGGTTATTTTAAGGTTCTTGCTTGATTTTTAAGGTTTTTTATGAAAAATTTTTATGTATTGTCTTAACTTTGTATTTCATATAAATTTTCTATAAATAGTCTGTGACTTTATTAAATTATCAATTGACCCAAGTTAATATAATTATATATTATTCACTTATCGTTTAGAATGACCTTCTGATGTTGATTCCTAAGGCACCCTGAATTCCCTTAATCCAAAGGCATCTTTCCCCCTTTTTTTCTTTTGGTAATGGAAAATGTTTTAAGGTAAAATTCTACTAAGGGTTTTAAAATTTCTGCTAAAATTGCTGAAGGTTTAATTTTTTATGTTATCTTAACCTTATTGGTTTGATAATAGATATTAAATTTTTAACATTAATTTTCTCCTTGTAGATGGGTATTAATTAAAGCAACTTTAATTTGGAATAAGTTGATCAGAAGTGGGTAAAATTGTGATAGTTTATCTTAACATATAGGTATATGTAGATATATATATATATATATATAGAGGTATGCATATATACGTATATGTATGTATAAGCAGGTGAATATATGTATGTGTAAGTAGGTGAATATATATATATATATATATATATATATATATATATATATATATTTGAATTCTCTCTAAATCTTTAAGATTTCCTTCTTATTATCCATTTCTAAGATATGGGTAATTTAATACACCATCAATTCTGAATTATCTCTTTTCATTTCACTGAGTTTACCACTTATTGTTTTATATAATTTAGATTCTTAATAACATGTCTTACATTACCTCTTGAGTCCCCTTACTACCCTCCCTCTCTCCTCCCTTTTCCTGGTGACCATCTCTCATATAACACTACTTCCAGTCTCTCCTTTCTACCCCCCACATTTTCTCCTTTTTTTCTTTTCCTCCCTTTCTGTCTTTCCCCTTCTAGCCATTTCTATTTCAGTAATCTGCCACAATTGACAGTTTGAAAATCATGTGAATTTTAAATTTAAAATTCACTGGTGAAAAAGATCATTAACTAATGGTGTCTTAATTCCAATTGTATAATATATATATATATATATATATATATATATATATATATTAATCCTAAATGTTTTATTACATCAAATGTTATTATAGTGGATACTTCATATTTGAAATAGACACCCTATTTTATATTATTACACCTATCAGCCTGTGTATTTGTACATTCAAGAAGTCTTAGTTAAGATTATGTGTTCATCTGCAGGGATTGAAAAAATGCCAATTCAAAAAATAAATCCATTAATTCTTTAGAAATTATTTTCTTTGTTTCAGATATCATGAGCAGATATCACATTTCCAAGAAAAAAATCTGACTGAAGAGGATGTGCTTTCCTTATAAAGGGAAAATAGAACCTTGCTTGCTGTGATGTTTTTTTGTGGCCAAGCAGTAAAGCACACTGGATCAAATAGTGATTACCTTTACAAAGGGGTTTATACGTTTGATCTCAGCTGGGGATCACATTTTCTTTAACATTTCTCAAATGCACAGGCCAATAGATGTAATACACACTGTTTAATAAATAAAAGTGAGGAATTTGATGAATGTGAATTTGATGAAAATTTAATTCTTTCATAAAACATTTTTACTGCTATTTATTTTGTATATTTGTTATATATATATTTGTATATACAAAAAATAATCCAACTGACTATAAAATGATTCAAATTCTTTATTAGCTGATAAGGAATACTTACCTAATGAGAACCATCCAATCATTTCTTTGCGTTTCATACTTCTTTTGTTATAGACTGATACCATGAGTGTCACTTCAGGTAATTGGAATAGGGCTACCTGGAAGACAAATGTCTCCCGAAACAGAGGGTTGGGCTGACCTCGACGTATTGAAGTTTTACTCCGAGTCAGTTCTTTACCAGTTGGAGACATCAATGTAAGTTTTACATAAGTATCTGTCAAATGAATAATATAAAGATGAGTCATATTAAAAATATAAAAACAAAAATGTAACTTTAGGATTTAATGAGATTATTACATATTTGTCATGGGAGTGAGATATTCGTGTTTGAGTCCAGGATTTGCAATGCGAAATGGCCAGGCAGACAGACAAATCACTTTTTGGAAGATTAGTATAACAATATTTTTTTTCCCACCATCTGCCATCACTTGTCATTGTGTTCTTCTGAGCAAATCTTGATAAATATCAAGAAATAAAAAGAATCTGCTAAGAATACATTGTCATAATATTAAAAATACATTGCAAAGACTTGTTTTTTTTTATAAAGTTAAAAGATATACATGCATACTGTTTTTATGTTTTAAATATTATATTTTGTGGCATACAGGGTGTATACCAAATGAAAAATGAAATAAGTTGGAATAATAAGAATGATAAAAATAGATTCACTGTGTCAGACATAATAATTTTTAAGAGTAGAAGTGCATTTTATATATATATATATATTGTTCACGCAATACAAGACTCAAGAGTCATTCAAGATAGAGAATTACTGAATGAGGTTGTTGTATGTTGTTAACAGTTGGCCCTAGACTTGAAGAGGTTAAGATTGTAGTGACCAGGGAAGCAGCCAGTTGGGAGATTTTTTTCCCCCACAAAGCAACAACTGTTGAGAAGAAGCTATGTGAATGGAACTCCCTTCTTACCAATGAAATGTGAAGGGAATGAGGATGATTTGACTCTGTATACGTGGCATGGCGGATCTTAGCTGTGAAGGTCTGAAATGGTGAAACTAATGAATGTAGCTGATCTTGACATTTTATCTGTGGGAAAGGTGTTGTAGGCTGTGCAGATGATTTTTTATGTTGTCAAAACTGGAAAGTGAGGAATGAACAGCTCCAGTCCAGATATGGCAGCAATACTCTGTATTTTGTATGATCTGAGTCTTGTAAAGGTAAAACATAGCAGGAGTGAGATACTTTCTGTCTGTTTGGTGATGAAATGTTACTAGTTTTTGGAGCTATCAAATGTTACAAGTCAGTTTTTCCCTCTTTGAGCTGTTAGAGCTAGATTAGAGAAGAGATCAACTGCTAATCAGCTAATTTTAGATGTGTGCTCATAAACCATGATATCATCTGCATAGATATTTACCAATAATCTGAGAATGTTCTTTTATCAAGATAAAGCCTTGATCAACTGCTCAGAACATTTTAGTGTGCTTGATATCAGGTACACATAATATGCAGCATTTTATCATGGTTTAAGATCAAATGTTTAATAATTTCTTTATAATGCCATCTATAATGATCTCTCAAAGTTTAATGGTCGAATAATGGCCATGGAGGAAATCCTTCAATAGTAAAGTAGTTTCAGCAGTATCTATCAAAAGAGAATGGCAAATTTACATATAATTAAGTGTTGTAGTCACTTGTTTCAGTAGAAAGAATTTACAACAAAAAAATGTTTCTACCTGGTGCTCTATTCATTGCCATGTTTCGGAAGTTACTTCCTTTGACTACTTCAACCATTAAGCGTCCAGTTGTTCCATTGTATGAGAGTCCCAAAAAAAGTTCTGGCATTCCTCCATGTTGCATAGACTGTGTTGATGACCCACTTTCACTGCGTGAAAGACTTGATACATCAAAACGTGAGTCTGCCTGCTGCAATTAGAAAAATCATCCACTAAAATTAATCTGAGTAGAAAACTTAAGTATTGAAGAATACAAAGCATAAATACATCAGCTTAAATGGTAAATTCTATCAACATGGCATACTGTCAAATATTGCATGTTGTCACTATAAAAGATGTAAAAGCAAAAGTAAATTTTTGTTAAGTAAATATTTGTTAGCATTGTTATTTGAAAACTTAGAAGATTAGACAAACATAGAAAAGGAAAATGAATTGATGAAATCTTGTGAAACTAATGCAGATGAACAGACTTGTCTAAATAATTTTGAAAATGATCAGATGCTCTCTAATTTCTTTCATTCTAAATCATTTTTTGAATAGTTAGTATAAAATCCATAGCCAAGCTATTTGTGATTACTTAAAAAATCTAATTCTACTTGGTAGACATATCTATTAGAATAAAATGGTAGAGTTTATTTGCTTTATCAGACATTGCCAGTTTGCATCAAAGAGCAATAATGTTTTTAAAATTCATGCTTGTTTTAGATACACATCTAAACCTGAGATTTCAGACAAGTATTCCATATTTTATTCCAAATAAACTCAACCTGTTTATGTATTTTTAAAAACAGGATCAATCTGAATAAGTCCTTAACTTTAGCTATAACTTTACAAGATTTATTTACAACAGTTATCATTACTTATTATTTTATTTAGACTTTTGATAAAATTGTCTCAAACTAGTTTCTGTAGTAATCAGTCAATTTTTATAATTGTATGTGGGGATGTTGAAAAGTTCTTGGCTTGACCAAGAAGCCTTAAAAAAACTATTGTTTGGTCATTTTGTGAAGTGGAAAAGACCAAGAACATTTCAGCTCCCTTTCATAAAATACTTATTCAGATTTTAGAAAATACATTTGTGTCTTGCATGATTAGCTACTTTTAATTTTCCTAATTTTTAGAAACTATTGAAGGGATTCATAGAAATATTTCAAATACTATTTATAAATTATAGTAGACTATATATCACTCTCTAAAATGTAGCAACAGTTTTATAAGTTTTACCAGACGTTAACAGTTCTACATTCTCATTCAAGTTATAGAAATGTCCCATAACATTATGTTATCATTAAAATTTATAATTAAAGAATGTGTATTATAAAAGCATTAATGTATGCTCCATGTTCTAAAACTAGTTTGAAAATTGATTAATCCATTGATTTTATCAGCTGCTGTATTTCTTCATATGAAATAGACTACACAGGCTTAACACCATCATAATCTTGTCATAGGCCTACCATTTCAACACCTATAATCCCACCCCAAAACATCATATCACATTCATCTTGTTGACACCTGAACTTGTGAGAGTAGTTTCAACTTATCCTTTGCTACAACCCTCTGGCCCATAGAGCATTCATCAGTGAAAAAAATAGTTTAAAAACATCTTTATACCTATTTCATTTGATTTTCCTTGTAGATGTCTTTTAAGAGGTTTACTGATTGGTCCCATATATTTTATTTCATTTAAGATCCAATATCTATGATTTTTGACATTTTGTTACTCCCATAATGTTCAAAATTTTCATAGCTTGAAGAAAGATTTTTTATTAATTTTTCTCTTGATACAGGACATAGATCAATGAAATAATAAAGTCCAAAACTTGCTCTTATCAGATCTGTATTAGCGTTGTCCAGCATCTTCAAACAACTTCTTCAGTTTAATGGCACCTGCTTATCATTTTTGTCATCATTGTTTTACCTTTGCAATCTCTAATATTATTAACAATTTTTGTTTATCTGCTCAATTTTAAAACTTTAAATTTGCAATGTAGCTATTAGTTTAAGATTTCAAAATTCAGGACAATTCATACAAATGACTGCAATCTGTTTATATCTACACAGAATGAACCAGCCTTCATCCTAACTGTGCAGATAGGTGTTTCCATTATAAATAAACCTGTAGATTCCAATAAGTATTTTATATCTCAATAATACAAGAAGTGGCTAATAATGTGAAATGATTCACTAGTAAATTATATATATTTCTCTCTGCATCATTGACCAGTTTTTTGTAACTCATCACATTATCCACTGGCAGGAAGTAAAGGGAAGAAGAAGTATCATAAGATTAAATGTATAGAATAAAGTACACTGATTATTTTTTTAAATTTTAGTTTTGGTCAATTTAAGGTCCTTTCTTTACAAAGAGATTGATTTCATTTGACTTGATACAACAACAAAGAAAAAGTTTGACAGAGAAAGTTACCATTCACTGCAGAGACCAGATGTATAAATGCCTTGAATTTTATGCCAAATTTAACTTTTTTCTTACGTACATACTCAAATGTCTATATATATATATATATATATATATATATATATATATATATATAAAACCATTTTCATACTAAATAGATTGAGACATAACACCATCTTCTGTAAAATTAATAGTATACACCAACAGTGAATAAGTTGCTAATGTTATGTGAGTGAATTCTTTCTTCAGTAAAACAACTTGTAATATAAATGAATGATGTAGCATACAAGTAAAATAGTCCTAATGAATTTAGTCAGAAAGTAAATAATAAAAGATAAAGTAACTTGGAAAATTCCATTTGTTGGTAATTCATATTTGATTAACAAACCAGATAATGTGGTTGCTTTAATATTTATTTTCAACATTGTGAAGATACAGAAGTACTCAAATGATAACAATTTAGTTAAATCACAGTATAAATTCAGCTTATTCCCAAGTAAGTATCCATAAAATTTGGCACTAAGAAAGTCTTGTAACAGAAAAAGACCAAGAACTGTGTGTATTCCATTCTTTGCAGTTGTGGCAAATATAAAGGTGAAACTAGCCACGCTCTAAAAATAAGCGGAAAATCAAAAAGCCATAGTGTGAAGAGTGAAACAATGAAATCAGGTATGACTGATCATGTGTGTCTGGGAATGAAGTAAAAATACTGGACAAAGAAGAACACTGGAGAGTTAGATGTTTGAAAGAATATGCACATATACTAAGCTATGAGGACCTCCTTAGTAAGCCCAGCATAGAAATATGATATGAGAACCTCTAATTAAGAAAGACAAATATCAGTAGGCCTTCAGCAGCTGTTACAAAAGAGAAGCCTCAGTCAAGCATAACAAGTAGTAGCAGCACTCATCAGCAGGTAGATTAAGTTTAAGGCCCCAATTTCTCCACATACAAGTGTTTAATAGCTTAGTAAATTAAAACGCTGGTTTATGAATTTGGTGACATAGTAATTGTGAGTTCAATACTTGGACCAGACAGTGTATACTTGGATTCATTGGAGCCTGGGTGAGCAATAACTGAGCAGTACTAAAATAAAAACTAGGCAAGATCCCTAGAAATGGGCAGTGGAATGAAAGCAATATACCCCCATAGATTAAATAAATTGTTCTGTTCAAAATTTCCTGGATGTTATACACCTGATGGAGGACACAATGGTCAAAACATTGTGATAACAACAAAGATGAGGACAACAGTCCAAATGTAAATAATGATAACTCTTCATTCCAGAAATTCAGACAGAAATTACCAGTTTTTATTAGAAATATTTACAATGACTTATTTGGTTCTGTGATATTTTATTATGCAAATTTAGGGTTGTTTATCCTATTGTGAACAAATATAATAGTTATTAATTTTTATTATATATTATTTTTGAATTTCATATGTATAAATAATGAGATGGTTCATAAGAAAGATATAACTTCAAAAGAGAAACAAGATATTAGAAATTGTAAAAAAAATTATATAACCATATTAACATATAAAGTAAGAATTTATTCAGGTATATGGGTGTTATATAGGAATAAAGTGTCATTGCTGACACTTGAGTTTGAACATAGATCGCCAGTGAGCAAACACAGGTGATCCCATTATTGAATTAAGTGGATCATGTGACCATAGAGGAAACACATAAATAGGAGGTTGCGTGATGTCTAATTGATTGCTATTTCTATTCTATCCTCTTTTACTATTCGGATCACCATTTCTACTCTATTACTATGTGGACCACAATTCTCTACTCTATTTCTCTATTCAGATCACTATATGGATTAATATTCAAGTGACTATTATTGAGCAAGTACTATTAGTGCATGTGATATTTGAAGGTGTCTGACACCAGCATTGTACAATGGCATACTATAGTTGTATCTGCAATTAATTATGCTTGCTGGTTTGAATTGTGCTCAAGCATATTTGGATGACATATTAAAAGCAAGACCTGAAAGTAGCATGCAGAAAATGTAAAAAAGTATTTGAGAGAATTAAGGAATATGGTTTTAAGATTAGTGAAGGAAAATGTGAATTGTTTATGTCCAGACTTAAAATATCTAGGATAAATTATCGATGAAAATGGTAGACGACTGGATTATTCAAGAGGAACTGCAATAAAGGACATGTCCACTCCAACAAATGTAACAAAGTTAAAGCATTTTTAGGGTTTGCTAATTACTATCATATATATATATATATATATATATATATATATATATATATATATACCAAACATGCACAAATTAAGAGCACCCTTTAATAATCTGTTAAAGAAATATGTGAAATGGAATTGAACAGATAAATGTCAAAGTGCTTTCAAAGAGATCAAGAAAGTCTTAACATTGGATTTGTCAGCAGCTCATTTTGACCCTAAATTAAAGATTGTGGTTGCATCAAATGCAAGTGATTCTGATATCTGAGCAGTGGTACTACACAATTATGAGGATGGAACAACTAAACCAATAGCTCATGCTTCAAGATCATTAATTGCAGCTGAAAAAAGCTACAGCCAGATTGAAAAGGAAGCATTAGCCATCATAAATGCTATGAAAAAGTTTCATAAATTTATACATGGTAGAGAATTGATACTACAGACAGAACATCATCCATTATTGTCCATATATGGATCAAAAAAGGGTGTTCCCACACATACAGAGAATAGACTGCAGTGCTGGGGAACTATCTTATTGAACTATAATTATAAAAAGGAGTTTCTACCATCCCAAAAATTAAGTCATGCAGACGGATAGTCTAGACTAATACCAAAATTCTGTGAACCACTTGAAGACACAGTAATTGCGACGATAAGGGTCAAAAATGAAATTAATAATGTATTATACAATACTGTAAGAGAACTGTAAGAGAAAATAAGAATTAAGTTGGAAAAATATGACTTTATAATGAAAATGAAGAAGCAGTTAAGATTTAAAGGAAAGAATATTACTGGAAATAATGCATTTTCATTATATAATAATGTACTTATATATGCAGAAAGAATTGTGATACCAGCATCGTTGCAAAAACGAATGTTAAAAGAATTTCACAAAGGACATCCAGGAGTTTCTACAATGAAATCCTTAATGAGGTGTTATACTTACTGGCCCAAAATGTATCTGGATATTGAAAATTTAGTGAAATCATGCAGAGGTTGTGCTCTGGCAGTGAAGTCACCACCTATCAAAATTCATCCTTGGCTGAAAACCAATATGCCATGGTCCAGAATACATATAGACTTCACAGGACCATTAAACAGAACATACTATCTAGTGGTAGGTGATAGTTACACTAAATGGCTAAAAATATTGAAATGTAGAAAACCAACTATTGCAGTAATGATAAATTTTCTACACAAGATTTTTGCAATGTTCGGTGTTCCTGACTATCATTTCAGATAACAGGACTCAATTCAAGTCGTGTGAATTTAAGTTTTTTTGCAAATCATTAGCAATAGAACATATTACAACTCCCCCTTATCACCTAAAATCAAGACAAGCGGAACAGTTTGTTGATACTTTTAAAAAGGCACTAAAAAAGTCAGAAGGAGAGGAGTCAGACAAAATAATGCTACAATTTTTGAGTGTTTACAGAATAATAGCAAACCCGAACAACATGTCTGGAATGTCACCGATGTTGAGTTGGTTTAAGTCTGTATTTGACAAATTACTACCAGAATGGAAGACAAGAACCTCAAGGAATCAAAATAATATAAATAAATATTTTAAACCTGGTGATAAAGTGTTTTTTAAAATGTACCAACGTGGAAAGGAATTCTGGGAAGATGATATACATGGTACAGGGACAAAGGTGGGAACATAAGCAACACCATAATCAGTTAAAATGGAGAATCACTGATTTAGTAAGTCCCCAAAAAGCGGTACCAATAGAAATATTGTATAACATGTGTGACATACCCACACCACCAGAAATTAGGGGTACAATAAAAGAAAAAGAACAGCAATGGAACATCTGAATATTGAACCTAAGTTGAAGAAATATAGACTCCAGAGCAAGTCATCTCAAAGGGAAGGTGTTATATAGTAATAAAGTGTTGCTGCTAACACTTGAATTTGAACATAGATCCCCAGTGAGCAAACACAAGTGATTCCATTATTGAATTAAGTGGATCATGTGACCATAGAGGAAATGCATGTATGAGAGGTAGCTTGTGTCTAATTGATTGTTATTTCTATTCTATCATCTATTACTATACAGATTACCATTTCTACTCTATCCTATATTACTATTCAGCTACTCTGTTCACTATACTATTTCTCTATTCAGATCATTATACAGATTAATATTTGTGCGAGTATTATCGAGCAAGTACTATTGGTGCGAGTGATATTCAAAGGCATCTGATACCAGCATTGTTCAACAGCGTACTATAGTTGTATCTGCGATTACAAAGTCTCTACTACAACAAGCATTACGAAAGTGACAACAAGTATTTCTTGGTATCACAAAAGTGGCAATGAGTGTTCACTGACATCAATAAAATTGGATATTTTGTTTATCAAATATATGTGGTCTATATTTTGAACTTATTTATAAATAATTTTATGTCATACTTAATTTGCATAATAAAATCTGATACACTCAAAACAAGTTCTTATCAATATTTTAAATAAAGTTAGATATGAGTTGACACTAACAATATATATTGCACATATAAATATATCCTGAAAAATTTACCAGCATTAGTTGGTTAATACCAATTTTATTATGAAAACTTTGACTTGCATAATAAAACCTGACAAGTATACATAAAAGATGATTTCTATAGGAATTAAATGTACATAATATAAGAATATTAGTATCCAAGTATATTTATGAAAATTAAAAAAAAAGACACAATTATATTAACAACAAGAACTAGAAATATATAATCAGAAAAAATTTTAAATGTTGAGATGTTAGAATTTGAAACAAGAGTTATGATTTCAATTCTACTTATGTTATTTAGTTCAAAATTTTAAAGGTTCTATATCTACAAATACATACAAAACAGAGAAAACATTCTGAATGAAATCAAAACCAATAAGAATTGGTTATTATAATCACTGATAAGAGAAAAGAGAGGTAATGCCAATTTATATTACCATAAACTTATAGAAATATTACAGAATATCGCAGAACATCAATAACTCTGATTTATGCCACTTGCACAGAAATCTTCTATAAATGCTCTCTACAGAAACAAGTAAATCTTCAGAATGAAAAAGAACACAGTGAAGTATTTGTATATAAGATTGTAAATATACTACAAATTTCTTTCAGGAAATGTTTTATTTACACTGAGGTTGCTACGAGGCTCCAGAATGATCCAGTGAGTAGATTCCATATCAGGATTCAATGATGCAAATCCAATAACTGCCTCTCCTATCATTCGTTCACGTCTCATTCTTTCACAACCATAAAGTCGAAACCTCACTCCCATGTTCATCAGATCCTCTGCAAGGAAAAAGATAAATACTGTTTTAGAAGATTAAAGAGAATTATAATTTAAAATGGTATTAGATAAATTAGAGATAATTATACAATATAAAATGTATGAGCATAAATCATGTAGGAAGTAGAAGACAAATTCATGCAATGATACACAAGGTTGTGAAGTTTTTATTCAAAAGGTTTTAATTCCAACTTAAACTCATTTATTTTTAATATACCTGATTCCAAATCCAATCAATGATAAAATAACTATTGAATGCCTTGATTTTTGTTGTTCACTAAATGTTTGCTATACAAGCAAAAACAATGAGTTTAATAGTTTGAAAAATTTTTGGAATAATGACTCTAAAAACGACAGGAATTATTAAGTAAAGTATTTTTATTTGCTCAACTTAAGTATACCGTGAACTAGTTAAATGAAATTGTTTTGAGAAATTTTTTTCATGGTGTCAATGTTTTTGTTGATGCTGACTCCACCAAATATTACTTTCAAGTTTGACTTCATATGCCTGATAACTACAAAATTGCCTCTTCTCAATTTTTATCTTCAGCCATATTCAGTGAATTCTGCTATTTTTTTCAGAGCCTATAAATTATTTGGCCAACAGTACTATGCATAAATTACTACCTGTAGCCATTTTTTCTTAATATGTTTCCGTCAATGTGCAGACAACTGAACTACACAAGCTTCAATTATCTTCAAATGATTCAGTTACTATGGTGACACTTTTACATTTACGCAGTGCAAGCTTTTCATGATCTTTGGCTATTTTTCAAGTTAATTTTATGTTGTAATATACATGTATTGCCAGCAGTTATGAGATGATTAATATTCTCTGTTTTCCTTTCCAATTTGTTTCCATTTTTACCACTAAAGGAAGAGTAAAAATGTTTTCACTTTCAAAGAGGCACATTTGTTCCCTAATCATCAAAGTAATTGCCTTCATCTTTGAAAAATCATGAATCCATTAATCTTCACTAAATTACACCTCATTCTTTTGGAAGTAGAAAGAAAAAATTGATTTAGACTGCTTGACAAATTTTATATATTGACAGTTTGAATAAATTTCACACTTTAAGGTTTATATATTATTATTGTAAATATATTCTTATGATATAAGGTAAGTTTACATTTTATGAGTGATGTTTAGTACATTTATCTATGTTAGATATCTTTATATTTAGATACAAACCCTTTTATTTCATTTGGTGTTAACAAAAATGTGGAGGGCATATATTTAATTTTTTACATTCATATAATACTGGCCAAACACATATTGTTCAAAATTTATAAAATAAGCAAAAACAATATTAACTACAACTTCAGCATTTTCCTTAGTTTGCCTTGTAGTACATTATAGAAAAAAAGATGGTCATATACATAATCATAACATTGTAAAGTGAAAAATAATTTGATATAATCTTATTGAGAAAAAACTCATTACCTTTTTGAATCTTATTAAATTGAAACTGGTCTCCAAATTCTGGGTTATCACCAGGTTTAATTTTTGTTTTATGTCGCTGTTTCTTAGTTGGCAACAGAAGTAACCGAACTTGTGCATTGTTAGCCCCACCCCTGTCCTTGCTTGGAATATCTCGAGCTTGTAATATAGTTATTGTCATGCGTGCTTGTTCAGCATTATACAAAAAGGTCACTTCAAGGTTACCACACTTGGATATCAGAGGTGGGTCTTGATGCAGATCACTAATATCAAATAGATGTTCCTGAAGATAAAACAAAAATAATGTTCTAATTTGGGACATATTAAAAATTGCAGTCAGACACAATAACATTATTTGCTCAATACATATATTAGATATTTATACACCTGCAATGAAAATGTTTCTGTAAAATATTTAGTATGAGATGAAATTTTATTTTCATTTGTGTTAACATTTTGAGATTCATTAGTATCTTTGTGTTATAATCTAAACATTTAAATTACATTAAAGTACATTATTGCTTAATTAATGCTTAATTTTAATTTGTAAATTTACCTAAAACCAGTTATAATTTATAAAATTTAAATAATGAAAATGTTACCATTTAAATATTTTAATAATGAAGCTTACAATGAAAGGGAGTGACAGTGTATTTTTGCACACAAAAATGTAAATTAATTTTTGTTAACTATACTTCCAAAGATATGTAAACTGTAAAAAGCATGTCAATCAGTTGTATTTCTGTATATTTTAGTGTATAGAAATGAAAATATTAAGACTAGAAAAGTAATCAAATTTAACTATGTTTAAAAGAGATTAGGAAATGCATACAATGTGAAATGAAAGTAATTCTGGAAAACATACTTGTAATTAATATTTCATTAACAACAATGTGATGGATGTTAATATTTTTTTTTATTTGCAGTCAATCTCTTCAGAACACTCTGATTGAAGGGATATTCAGTAATAGAAAATTAATATAAACGATTGATTAAAAAATCTGATGTTTAGTCATTTGGTCAGATTTGGGAAAGTGAGATTTTTCAGCACTACCTCATCTAAATGTGAAAATGTCTGTGTGTCACACTTTTCAATTAAAGGGACACAATTCTCTAACTTTTAATAGCTTTATTATCATTTCTATATAATACATGCAAATGTCAGTGTGTCACACTTTTTGAACTTTACTCCTAGAGACTGCAGCCCAACATATCATACCATTTTGGAATCAGTCTCACTCAGTGAGCAAATTAAAAACATTCTGGGCGAGATCCAGACCTGCAATCCTGAAATTTTGGATTCCCAAGTTTTCATTATTACGATTGTTTTTAGTGATTTTTTTTTTGTGATTTTTTGCAACAATTTTTTTTTGTATGATAACAATTTTTATAACTTGGAAATAAATTTGGGAATAATCAAAATTAATTGCAAAATCCAGCAAAAGTTACCCATGAAATAAAAGTAATTGTTTATATGGAAAGTAAGAACCTACGTACATCAAATTGTCTTTAAATTAAAATAGCATTGAATTAATTGATTAAAATTATCGTTGAACTTTTAAAAGGTAAGCAGAAGTATTAATGCAATACTTAAATGCAGCAATCAATTTTGAGTTCTTTTGTAGATTATTGTTGCCTATTGCATATGGCAGCAGTATGCCTTGCAAAAAGAAATCTCTGCCAACAGAAGACTAGATTGCAATCAAAAGAGCTAAAGCTGCAGCAGGGAAAAGAAAGTCCCATGCAAATGAAAACCCAAATCAAACAACAGCCAGGAGAGATTCCAATGCTAAGAATATGCAAAACTTAGTGACTCTCAAACTCCTGAGCTCTCTGCTGGAGCTAGCTTAAATGCTGCCTAATAGGACGTTTTTTAAGCTAGTTATATATTTGTTTAAAATTTGCTATATTTAGAGGGGTAAAATGTTCAGTATTGCAGCATTTATACATATAGATAGTGTTGATATAGGAATCAGCAATGCATTGTGACTTTCATGCTTCAATGTGTTCTTCACACTGTATATATATAAGTGTGCATGGTTGTAATAGAATATATTGTATTTGTAGGAACATTTATCTTGTTTTTAATTTAAAAGGAAACCCACATCTTATAAATTTCTATATAACTTTACTAATAAAATTTTCAGCAATTTTCATAAACCTTAAGTCCTTGCTTTTTTGTTAGTTTTACTAATTTCTTTTTGTAACTAAATTGGTTACAGATATCTGACAAGATTAATTAAGTAATTGTATCATTATTTATAACTTGTTGCCAGTGATTTTTATAGGATGACTTTCATGAGGGAATTTAATTAAAATGAGAATAGTAAGGCTTATCTTTAATTTCCTCTTGTTAGATATTCAACTAGTTTCTGAATATTAATTTAGGCATCAGCAAATGCACAAAATATTCTCTCTCCAGAAGTTCATAATGAATCAGAAGACAATGATTTGATACAGGATAAATGTAAAAATAAAGAAATTGTTAAATATCATGCTCTGGAAACATTCAAATAAAAAATATTACCTAACTTTACTACAAATAGACTCTTCTAGTAAGATTAAATAAATAATCAGAAGTTTTTGTTTCAGACAATTTTTTTACAATTAGCATAAAGTTACTCACAATTTATCCTAACCATTTATGCTTGGCTTTTGATTCAAAGTACATGTTCAGCTGCACTAGCTTGGTATTACCTCTCTAATTGCACTAACAGGTAGAAGCTTAGTCAATTCCTGATACCTGAAGCATCCCAATAATGAAATACCAAGGGAACTGAGAAAGTTTTTTTGTTTGAGTGGGCATGTGGAAAAAAATGATATAGTTTTACAATTGTCTAATAAACATATCACTGTGAACTTGCTGAGAAACACTGTTTGCCTGCTTAATTTTTAACAATTATGATGTGAGGTTGATTAAGTACAACCAGATAACTTGTTCACAGATAGATCATGATTATTCTAATTTGGCTGTATTCTTGTAGAATACTTCTGAAACTAAGATAATGATTGAAATATTATATAATTTAAATACATCCAAGAGAGAGTATGACTATTAGAAAATGTACCCCCAAGCAAAATATATTCAATCCACTTACTAACACATTTTTTGATGCATTTTTAAAAATACATAATATGAAATAAAAATTCTTAAGAATCTAATTTTCTAATTTCATGATATCAAGATTTAGCAACTCTGAATGAAAAAAAATTTAAATTTTAAACACCTTAAGATATATTAGGAAAAAAAAGTAGATGCAAATTCTAAATATAAGTGTCACATCATTTTATGAAATATAAAACTGTTTTGTCAGAATAGTAGGATTAAATAAAACTGATGTAGAAAGCATTCTGAATTTCCATGCTCTATATCTTTTATATTATCAACTCTAAGAAAGTCTTTTTTGCCATGAGAGTTAAAATGGATATTCTATTTTATTACATTTATAAGGCTTCAATAACATAGCAGCAGCATATTGAGGCCAGCACTGAATTGAATGAGTCAATAAAACATGCAATAAGAACAAGGTAGAGCCTACAGACAAGGTAATAAGTTGAATAAGATCAAGAATTGAATTCATTCATCTGAATAGAACTACAGAATAGATTAGTCAAAATGTGGAGAAGGAAAAAGAATAAAAGAAAGAATGAAATAGCAAGATTAGGGACAGTCAAGAGATTTGTTAATTTTGTTACATACTAGATGGCTACAGAAACACTGAAGTAACCATTCTGTAATCATTTGATTATTTTAATATACATCTCTACATGAATAGAATATATGAAACAATGCAGTCAGTATTAGAAAATGAATCCAGTGCCAAGTTTAATGAAGATAATTAAAATTTTACAAGCATATAGCATAGGCTGCTTTGACTAAGTATTCTAGTCTCCTTGATTACCAAATTTTGATTTGTTTACATATTCTATGAAATAAGAGATGCACATTTTTGAACAGTTGATATATCTATACAATAAAAGGGAGAGAAAAAGTGAATGATTCTTAGAAACGTCCCAAAAAGTTGTGTGTAGTGAGAATACAAATGCTACATGTGATCAGTGACAGTCTGTAAAAGTGAATAGATTTTAACTACATTTGCTTTACAAACCCTTTCATTTGCTTGTAGTTCAGACTGGTAATTACTTGCAGCAGATGCATCCTGGAACAATCAGGCAATTTGAATGTCAACTTGAAAATATATATGTAAATAATCAAGTTGATAGGTTCTAAACAAATTTATAATTAAAGCAACAAATTACTACAAAAAGAAAAGCACATAAAAATTATTGTGTTGAAAATAATTTTTGCTTTATTAAATGAAGATAAACTTGTGACTTTACCATTTTTATTACCTAATAAGAAACTGATTCGATATTCAGTTAGACTTAGATGAATTTATTACTTTGGGAAGTTATCTAAAGGAATATGTTTTAAATAAAATATATTAGAAATAACATTAAAATTATCAAAATAGCAAAATTTATTCTGACATAATTCCTCATTATTAGAAAAGTATTTTCTTAATCTTACTCAAAGTTCATGATTGTGACTATGTATCCTGCATTCTTTGAATATCCTTTGAACCCTGTATTCCTGAACAATTTTAACCCTTCTGCCTGAGCACCTGATTCAAAATTCGCAAATAATTGGTATGTAATGTTTCCCGGTAGATATAAAAATAGTTACAAGTGTTTACCCACCATTCAATTGTTGGCTGGGCATTAAGTCATTTTTCTCTACCACCAGTAAACTGGCTCAAAGGTTAAAGGAATTTTATTAGCCAAAGTATTTCCAGACATTTTGAGCATTACCTAATAGATAAAGCTCAAATTTTGTGTATATGTCTGCTTGGAACCCTAAAAATTAATTAAATATATATCAAATTGGTTATTATTCTTGTCTGTGTGTATATGTGTGTGAGTGCACAAACATAAATTTGTGATGATGGTTATAATCAGCAGGGAATGATTGTTAAAAACATTCTCACTCCAAATTTATAGACAAATCCTACAGATGCATGGTGGGATTTCTTCCTAACCAATAAAAATGGACAATTCTCAATTTCATGCCCCCATTTTCATTTTCTTGCTTTGATTCTTTTTTCTTTATTGCTGTTGCTTTTGACTTATACATAATATATATATATATATATATATATATATATATTATCTCATAGTATTTTTTGCTCTGTTTTTTTTTCCTTCTTATTGTTAATTGAGAACTTGCCAATTCTGCTTGTTAAAAATTTTGTCAGTTACCCTTAACCATGGCCAACTATTCCACATGTGACATCAAATGAACATAAATATAGGTTTTTGCCCAACTTATCAGTTTTTGCATTATGGATATAACTAATTTACATATTCAGATTTAAAAATCAAATCATTAAAAATAACTGTTTTGCTATTCATTTCCAATATGATCCTTTGTTTTGTAAATTGCATTACTTACTGAAAGCCTCATCTTTGTTGCCATATTTATCACAATGTTTTGGCCATTGTATGCTTCAGCCTTCTTCAGGTGTTGAAATGTCAGTTCAACATTCCAACCACCTGAAGAAGGCCAGAGCATACAATGGCCAAAACATTGTGATAAATATGGCAACAAAGATGAGGACAATAGTCTGAATAATGTAAATACCTCATCTCAGAAATATAGACAGTTACTCAAAGGTATTCTCTATTCTGAAAGTGGTAACAAACTTAACATTTAAATCCCAGCTGGGAATGAATGAAAGTAAAAAATATAGACATTTTTATTACTATATTTTGAAAATGTAACAAATATTGTATTATAATATGCAACATATGAAATAAGTGACTACTAAAATCTTTAAACCTGCTTTCATTATGAGAATTTTGCTAATATTATTTTTTAGCACATGTCAATCTTTCAGACAAAGGAACAACTGTAGAAAAGAAAAAGAAAGTGATTTGGCCTGTGCAATTAATGTATCATGGCTTATTGTATATATAATGCAATACTTAATTCAAAAAATCCACAAATCTCAACTGTCAATAAAGCTTTTAGTAAAAATAAGAATATTTTATAAAACAAATTTTTTCTGTATTTGTGAAACTGTTTTTAATCTATTTTATAGAATTAATTCACTAATTTTGAAAGATTGAAATCTAAAAAACCACAATAAAAATAGATTCATGATAAGGATGTGATCTGGTACTTTCTGCAAGAAAAAATAAAATACTGATCACAACTACTTATGTAGGATATTCTTTTTATTTATCTAAGGCAGTTGAGATGTAATAGTATGAAATTAATTGGCTTGGCATAATGACTACTATGAAGTTCATCAAAACTTTGAAAAAGAATTACTCAAAAATTGTCTCAAATTTAGATCAAATATCAATTACTATAATAAACATTTATCAATATATACAGACTTATATATGTTAGGTGTATGCTAAAGTTCCTAGGGACTTATTTTTTGATAACTAAAAACAGGATGAATCCAGTGTTGAGTTTTTCTCTATTCAGTGTTCATTTACCCTGTGTTAAAGAAAAAACACAAAAATGTTGGTGGACAAGATAAACATGTAACACTGGATGTTGTTCCTTTCCAAGCTAGGCAAACAACAGCAGCAGAAGTGAAGATGTCTGATGAAGCCTACTGGAATGGCTTCATTGGAAGCAGTATTTATTGTTGATTTCAACAAAGGTGAGGACAAATCATACAGTGGTAGATCACAAGAATTTGGAAATGATCATTTTTCGATGACCCCTCCCCCCCCCAAATCAGTGTTGGAATTGAATCAAAAACTTTGGTTGATTACTTAGAAGCTGTAAAACATTTCACCAGATATGGTGACACCATAATTTGTTTCAACCAATAAAGCATTTTGATGGCAATTTGTATATAGAAAAGAGAATTGGATTATTTATGAATATTAAGGGAGAGAGAAATGTGATATCTACAAATTTCTTCTTGAAATGTTGTTTTTTTAAAAACATTTTTTATAAAAAGATGCTGTTTACAGACATCCAAAATGTTGCATTTATCAGAGATTAAGAAAGACAGCTGTCTTTATAACAGTTCGTGTCTATTTTCTCAGCCTTTAAGAGATACTAAACTTCACTCTAATTTGATACAATCTTTACCTTGTTCAGAGGTTATGGTTTTGATCAAACAGGTTTTGTTTTCTTTATGACCAAATAAAAGCATCATATTTACAAGATCACAAAACTACATAATTATAAAATTATTAGTAAATTATTGAGTATATTTTAAATTTTCTTCAAAGTACAACTTTATAGCTGGTGTTAATCTTATAACATGTTTCAAATATTAAGGATTGAGCAGTAAATCTCAATTTACACATATACAATATTCATTTATCCATTCCCAAGTACAATTTAATAACTCTGTTTGGGGATTTGAAATATTTTATCAATATTTAATTCTGATTTCCGTTTTTTGGAAGGGCTCTTCTCAAATTATGTATTTCTTTAAAAGTATATAATTTTGGTATTTCTTTTGGTTGTTTTTATTTTCTTTGATCATAGAAGCAATTACTTACTCTTAGTAATTGGCAGAACATTAAATTCAAATTATAATTTCATCAAGTACTATTCATTTTTATTTTGTCACTTTTACTTTCTCTTTTAAATATGACTAATAAACTTAAACAGACACTTTAGAACCAACAGGAACAAATACAATGGATAAGCAAACTTGTATAAAAATTAAGTATAGACATTTATTATTAGTAAGTTGATTTGCACTTATGTACAGGTTAATAGTTTGTTAATTAAGCAGAAATATAAATACTTTATCTTACTGTTTTTATTTTTAAGATGGCTCTTATCAAAAGTTCAGTTAAAAGCCAAAGTTCAATGTCTACAAATAACATTTAAAAACAGACGTGAGAATCATGAACTTTCATCAAAATCTTTTTGCATCTATATGTTAACTTTGTTTCACATTGTAAAATTATAATTTACTTTTCACTTTTAATTACTACAGAACAACAAAAAATACCTAAATTATTAATGTTGATAAAAAGTTAAATAATTCAATTAATGGGTTCATGAATTAATTTATCTTTTAAAATGATGATGACAACAACGACAACAAGAACAACAATAATAATAATAATAATAATAATTGATAAAGTAAAAGAGAAAAAATAGAGGAAAACATGAACCTAAACAGATAATTTTTTTAATTAAATTTCAATGTTACAAATTTTAAGATGGAAAATTATCCTTCAGTCACTAACCAATGTATTAAACATTGTTATATACTATTTATTTTCAAATGGATCTATATAAATATGTAAGGAATAATGAAATGATGACTTACATCAGAGGGACTGTCTAAAGACTGTGCAGCATCACTGTTGATAGATTGTGATAAAGATACATCTTCTTGAAATGCCTGATTATCCACACCTTCTGCATCTGTTGGTTCTTCAATCTTTGAAACTGATGGTACTTCTGTAGAACCATCTTTGGCAATTACCTCATCTTCTGCTTTGGCTTGTTCTGCTGACAACAGTTTGATACAATCAGCATCACTGGTGGCACCTCCATCTTTCTCACTGGTGGATGGAGATTCTTTAGGCTTTGGTTTTGGTTTGTCTTGATCTCTTGGGGGCAGCGGTGGTGGCACTGAGTCTGAGAGACTATTTTGGGATGATTCTTTTTTTTTCAATGAACCGATGTCTTCTATTGAAACTTTACCTTCAAATAAAAAAAATAAAGAAGAAGAAAAAAAAAACAAATTATAGCTGAACAATGAATAAAACCTAACCTAAACATATGATGAAAATGAATTTATACAGTTTTTGTATTTCCAGCCAGCATGAAATCTCTTAAGGAGACTGTTGATTGTCTTCCTCTGCAGTTTCAATCCGGGCGTATTGGGGGTTTGCCTCAATTAGTTTCACTTTGCTGACTAAGGGGTCATGTTTACTATGACGAACATGGTGTTTCAGCAAAACGATTCCAGGTTGAGCAAGCCATGAGTGGAGGGAAGTGTCTGTTGAGCTTCGTCTTTGGAACAGAAAAAACCTCTCATGTGGAGTGGTGTTTGTAGATGTACATAGTAGGGTCCTGATAGCGTTTAGAGCCTCAGGGATGACACTTTCCCATTTTGAGATCGGCATTTTCCGGTTTGCCAATGCCAACTGAACTGTCTTCCATATTATTCCATTATATCTTTCACAGAGCCCGTTCCCTTGAGGGGTTGTAAGGGAGGTTCGGCTTACCGCCACTTCTTCGTTCATGCAAAAAAATTCTTGAGGTCTTCCGACATAAAGGCAGATCCCCTGATCTGTATGAATGTATGCAGGCACTCCGAAAATTAAAAAAGGGAGCAGAGGCCTTGAATAACTGTAGTGGCGTTACATCAGGGCATGGAATGACGAAGGGGAACTCATCAATTACAGTAAGCATGTATTTATTTGGAGTTTTAGAAGCTAGTGGACCCTTGAAATCCAGATTAAGCCTTTCGAAAGGCTGAGTGGCCTTTACGAGTGTTGCTTGAGGGGGCTTATAGAATCTTGGCTTATTTTCTGCACATATTTGGCAAGAGTTGGTAACTCTTTTAACATCTTCAACTGAATATGGTAAATTCCTGCTCCGAACTACATGTGTCATTCTTGTGATGCCCGGGTGGCACAATTCTCGGTGTATGCTCTGAAGATCAGATGAGCTTGTTGTTAGACTGCACACCCTTGAAAGTGCGTCAACTGCAGCATTCTCCTTTCCAGGATGATAGGAGACGTCAAATGAATAACAGGAGAGTTCCATCCGCCATCTTGCAATTTTCTCATTTTTTATTTTACTTGAGGTTTTCGGGTTAAACATGAATGATACCAATTTTTGGTCGGTGATAAGGTGGAATTGTCTACCGATCAGATAATGCCTCCATTTTCGTAAAGCTTCAACTATGCCGTATGCTTCTTTTTCTATGGCAGTATGCCTTCATTCAGACTTCGAGAGTGTCCTAGAGAAAAAAGCTACAGGCCGACCATGTTGTCTTAAGGAGGCAGCTATTGCCGAATCAGATACATCAGTTTCAACTACTAGTGGAGCTGAAGGATTAATGGCAGCAATGGCAGAATTAGCAATATCCCTTTTTAAATTTTGAAATGCTCTAATGGCTGAATCAGATAATGGAAAAGTTCTTACTTGAGTAAGTAAATGTATTTTTTCAGAAAAGTACTCAACCCATTGGGAATAAGGGGCAAACATGCCAAGGGCTCGGGTCCGGTCTCATGGCACCATTCCCGACTATGTACTTTAGTAGCTTGATGCTTTCTCAAATTATATGAACACTTTTCCTCATTAGGGGTCAGGTCATATTTATTTACGGCGGCCATGAATCGTTTGAGGTTGTGGTCATGATCTTCCTCATTATAACCGCAAATAGTGATTGTCTATGTATGCCACAGTACCCTTCAATTTCTCCTTAGAAATGATTTCATCTATTACCCTTTGAAAACTTGCGACCCCATTTGTAACCCCAAAAGGGATCCTACGGAATTGGTATAAACGCCCACAAGCTTCGAATGCTGTATAAGGTTTTTCCTCCGGCTTGATGGGTAGGCACTCCTAAGGTCCAACGTACTGAAAATACGATACTTAGTGATATCGGAAACCATTTCGTCAATACGGGGCAGCGGATACGCATCAAGTTGTGTATATCTGTTGATGGTCTGGGAATAATCAACAACCATCCTCTTTTTATGGTTCTCATTAGTTGTTATTAGGACCTGGGCTCTCCATGGCGATTTGCTGGGCTCTATAATATTTTCCTTAAGAAGTCTCTTCACTTCCATTGCAATAAATTCCTTGTCTTTGAGCGAATAGCGTCTAGATTTTACAGCTATAGGTTTGCAGTCAGAGGTTAGATTTGAGAAGAGAGATGGATACTGGACTTTTGCAGTTGCTAATCCACATATTTGCAGCGCTGGTTTGATACCACCGAACGGAATTGTAAGGTGAGAATGTCGGTTAAGGAAATTGTGCCCTAGAACTACTTCACAGCAGAGGTTCCTCATTACCAGCAACTTGATTTTAGAATAGAAATTTTCTTTTAGCTTGAGGTTAACCGTGCAGAATCCGATTAGACGACAGGATAAGGACGAAGTGGCGATCGATATTTGATTAGAACAGGGAAAAATTTTCCATTTGTTTGTTTCCATATGTGCATCGATAAAATTTTCAGAACTCCCCGTATCAATAAGAGCGTGGAGATTTAGTCTGTTCACTCTGGCCGGCACAATTGTTTTAGAGAGGCATTTGGGAGAGGCAGTCGATACGGTAGATAGAGATAGGGTGGCGGCTAAACGGGTTTTCTGTAAAGGGGCCGACCGACAAACCTTTAAAAAATGTCCCTGCTTGCCACATCCATGACATCTACTGTTTCGAGCCGGGCAGGATGAACGAGGTTGTTTACGAAAGCCGCAGAAGTAGCACTTAATCTCAGCTGAAGCGATAGTAACGGGTTGTTCAATAGTATTTGAAGAATCCTTATCCTGGGGGTCACAATGCTGGGAATTTGTTGAGAATGAGAATGGGCAGGAATAGTAGCCCCTGAAAAATCAGGTTGCGAATAGAGATCTGATTGTTTCTGGGCCATGTCCAACGTAAGGGATAGTTCGTAGGTGGTAGCCAGATCCAAGTCCTTGTTTTCAAGCATCCTTTGTCTGATTTGGTTAGACCGTACTCCACTGATGAAGGCATCTCTTATTGAGATATCCCTAGCTTGGCTTGCTGTCAGGGCAGTAAAATCACAGTCGCCACTTAATATTTTCAGGTTTTGAAGATACAGCTCTAGACTTTTTTCAGTCTCTTGACGCCAAGTAGCAAGTAAGTATCGTGCAAAAATGGAGTTTTTCTTCTTAATGAACATACCATCCAGAGTGCTTATAGCAGTATTGTAATTTTGACACTCAGTCAAACACTTATAAATGGGAGTAGAAACATGGTGTAATAAGAGGGTTAATTTCTGTGAGCCAGTCAATGCCAACGTAGAAGAAGATTGTAGCTCCAAAATAAATCCCTCGAACATATCCCTCCAATGTTGCCATTTGTCACTAGAATCAGGGTCTGAAGTATCGAGTTCCAGTCGGTCAGGCTTGAGGTATCGTTCCATTATTTAAAGTTGAATAAATTGTAATGAATAATCAGAGGCGAATGAACTTTGGTAAGCTTTATTCAACTTTAATACAGCTATAAAAAAAGAATTACGCTAGTATATTTATAAGCTTATGTGGAGTCGTCCATTACACCAAACAAGGGGTAGCAGGTTATGGGAATTACTTACAACATTCTCCCCCACCGGCTAGTTATTCATACAGAATAAAGTCTTTCCAGCGACCTGGCATTTTGCGGGTCCTTTGGGAACATCTTAATTGTTCAGGTGACTGAAGAGTGAAGGTAGTTTTGCCTTATTGATAGCATGTTTATCCATGTTTGCACAATTAAATAACTCTGGGAAGCAATAGCAACTGCTGCAAGTAATGTTAAAGTTAAAAAAGTACAAAAATTAAGAAAATCAATGTTGAAAGACTAATGATGGTTATAGAATGTCAAGGAGATTCATTTTATCAGATAAATTCATAATTTATCCAGGTATATGAGATATTGTATTAAAAAATATATTTCTTTGTCTTATATCTTTTAGATTTATTTATAAATAAAAATTTGTTGTATTTAGTTTGCATAATAAAAACATATCTTCGAAAGAAGTTATTAAAATAAGAATAGATATTAACATATTTTAATAAAGGAAGTTCTTAATAAAGATCTATATGAAACTCATGATATATGATTCATATATCATATACCTTGAAAATCTATAAAAATTAGTTGGTTAATACCAATTGTAAAAACAGATTTACATAAGAAAATCTGACAGTATATTTTCTATAAATCCTTTGCTATTGGAATATTGAATGTGATAAGCTAGCCTGCCAGATTTTCAACATAAAGTAATGAAAGTAAATTGTGAGTAAGCTTTATGTGCTGTGTCCCTTCAGAATGTGAGTGATAATGGCACTCCACAACTTCTTATCCTTTGTAGCTTTAAGTAATATCTGTCTCTTTGCTGTGCTTCCTGACATCCACTTACTTGTTAGGTAGATTATTATACCTCTGACCCCACCCTGTCTTCAATTTGTCCTGTGACTGCCAAATTCTCTAAGTCAGCTTTCTTCCTTGTGTCCCAAAAATTTCAACCATTTGTCATAAAAATGTCCTTTTCATTACCATTTTCCTTAAAATTTCATCATTGTTTATCTGCTCTGTCTGTATTCTCAGTGTTCTTCTGTAGAACCATATCTCTGTTGTCTACTGTAAATTTATGAATTTAATTTGCTTAAGATACTGAACAATTTCTCCTTACTAACTGGCAGATATTTTTATCTTTATTGTCGTAACTGGAGAATATTTTTATAACCTTTTTATTATATGTAAAGTTATTATCCATGAATAGGTTGGCTACTTGAAACTTCACTATTTGGCACTATCTGAAAAGTGATAGAAAAATGAAAACCTTATCTTGTAAAGTTTGCAGTAATATGTAGAACTGGTGTGATTATACTCAACTTAGAACAAAAACTTTATTTAAAAGGGGGTAATGAAAAGTTCTTGATCCAGCCAATAAGATTATCCCTCTAAAAATTCTGATGTTTGATATTTTGGTTAGATTTTGAAGTGGAATGAGACAATAA